TGCATGTTTTTATAGTTACCCTATTCAAAGGAGGTTCGTTTTGCTCACTACACTGTCTCCCCTTTGGCCTCTTGATTGATCTTCGTTTACCCTGGTATCCCAGGGAGAGTGCTAGAGTGAGGGTACATGTCATCAGGAAGGAAGAGAAGAAAGGAGGGCGGGAGGAAAAGAACCAAGGAAGGAAAAGAGGACGAAAGTAAGACAGGGAAGGAGAGAGGAAGGTAAAAAGGGAAAATGAAAAGAAAATTTCATATTCTAGAGGGAGGAATCATGGCCCAGACAGAAGAGACATTTCTGTGGTCACACAACCAGAGAGATCCAGGAATCTTACTGTCCCATTGGATGATGTTACATTGTGAGATGCGAACAAACTCACCCCAAATAGGACCTTGACACAAGACCTGAGACAATTCCACCTCATACCCTCAAACAGCTGCTTCACTGAAAAGTTCTGCCTGAGTACAGGAGACGGCTTCCTCAATGCTGCCAAGATGGAGTCCCCTTCAGTTAGCTTTCCACCCTGGGTGTGCTCTAGCACCTGAGGCCCTGTGGGGCTGGGCAGGAGGGAGGGAGTGGCTGGATCTCAAGTGAGGTCTGTTGAGGGGATGTTCTCTGACCTTTCCTGCGGGCGTGCTCAAGTCTTCCTTGTTTCTTTCAGCTCCCACTCTCAACCCTGAGTCAGTCTGTCTGTCTGTCCCCTGCCCCCTCTCTCTCCCCTTCTCTCTCTCTCTCTTTCTCTCTCTCTCTCTCTGTGTGTGTGTCTCTCTCTCTCTCCCTCTGTGTATGTGTGTATGTGTGTGTGTGTATGTGTGTGTGTGTGGGCATGCATGCCCACACATACTCGGAGGCCACAGAAGGACTCTGGATATCCTATTCCTCTCTTATACACATGTGACAGGGTCTCACATTGAACCTGGAGCTAACATGTAACCAGAAGGCTCAGCAGTCTCTTATTTCTAGTCTGCCTCTCTAAATGGCTTTGTACATAAGTGCTGTGGATTTGAACTCAGATCCTTGTGATTGTACGAGAAGTACTCTTGCCCACTTGGACATTTCCTCAGTCACCCATGTTTCTTTAAAGAGGTCCCCACTGGCAACACCAAAGCCCCGGTGGACTCTCAAGGCAGGATACACTGTGAGCTGAGGCAGCATTCCCAGGCTCCTCCCATAGCCTGGCAGAGCTTCTGGGAGGTTGGGAACATTTTGATTATTAACATAGCCAAGCAGCTAATTAAAATAATAAATTAGAGAACAACGGAGGGGTGACAGGAGTTGCTTGAGGCAGAGGGGAGGAAGAAAAGCGTTCCTTTGGCAGCCATGCAGGAAAGCTGGGCGTGTTTGCTTTTCAGGGTCACCCAGGAGGTATGTGAATGGTGGCATCAGATTCATCCCAGGAGGCCTCAGGGACAGGGTCATGGGAAGGGTGTTGCCTGGGTCCTGCCGGGGTGAGTAGAGTGGGGTCTATTCTGTTTTTCTCAGAGGTGGGAATGTGGCCCATTTGGGACTGTGAGCTGCATGTAATAATGACAATACTATTGACAAAACAGCAAAGTCTCAGAGGGCATCACACCCCATGCAGGCAAGTTTTGTTTCAGAAACAACATTTCATGTGAACATCCCTTGTTTTCTACATAGGTCATGCTGCTGGAAGCTCTAAGCCCAGTGCTAGGAATGCAGGAAACTGCTGAAGAGATGGCCTTCCCCAGTTTATCCCATCCCATTAACAGCAGGGCACCAATACAGACATTTCTGCAATATCAAGTTCAAATTCTTACAGTTCTGGCATTTTCATCCCACATACAAAAAATACAACATGAGAGTAGGTGATTTGCTTAGCAGCTCAATTGTTGTGGATGATTTGAATGAGAAAGTCTCCCACAGGCTCATATGTTTGAACTATTTAGTAGATGGAACTATTTAGGAAGAATTAGGAGGTGTGTCACTGGTTTCAAAAGCCCACCCATTCCCAGTTAGCTCTCCGTGCATCATGCTTGTGGATCAGGATGTAAGCTCTCAGCTACTGCTCTAGCACTATGCTGGCCTGCAGCCATGCTCGCCATCATGATGGTCATGGACCCATCCTCTGAAACTGTAAGTCCCCAATAAACTCTCTTCTATAAGTTGCTTTGGTCATATTGTCTCTTCATAGCAATAAAGTAACTAAGACAACTGTCAATGACTGACATGGTGAGCCAGGTCACATCTATACAATAAGGATACTAGTAACACTGACTACTATAGTTGAATGGAAGGTCATTGGGGTGTCCTATGCAGCATCTTTCAATGCTGGGAATTGGGACCACCAAGATGGCATCCTGGGATGTTTGCTCCATGCTTGCCTTTGGCAGAGTTCTGCAATGTAGACCTACACTCAAGAGGCACTTTGGGTTAATGAAAGAGGGATTGTCAACCCTTTGGAGATTATCTGGAGTAGGCACAGGAGACTTTATGGTCAGGAAAAAAGTCTTACAAAGAAAAGTTTGACCAGGCATGGTGGTTCATGTGTGTCATCCTAGCTAAAGCTAAGAGGATTGTCACAAGTCTGAGGACAGCCTGGGTTACAGCCTGGGTATGAGATCCTGTCTCAAAATGAAACAACAACAAACCTTAAAAATACTCCGAAAGTATGGAACTAGAAGAAGCTATCCTGAGTGAGGTTACCCAGATACAGAAAGACAAAAACAATATGTATTCACTCATAAGTGGATATTAGATATAAAGCAAAGAATAACCAGCCTACAGTTCACAACCCCAGAGAAGCACGGAAACAAGGAGGACCCTAAGAGAGACATACATGGATCCCCCCAGGAAGGGGAAATAGATAGGATCTCCTGAGTAAATTGGGAGTGTGGGGGAGGGGGAGGGTAGTAGGAGAGTGGGAAGGGGGTAGGAGAGGGAGGAGGGGAACATGAAGAATTGGAAAGGTCGAGTTGGGGTAAGGACAGAAAGGGAGAGCAAGGAAAGAGATACATACCTTGACAGAGGGAGCCAATATGGGGTTAAGGAGAAACCTAGCACTAGGGGAATTCCCAGGAATCCACTAAGAATCTAAGCAATAGTGGAGAGGGTACCTTAACTGCCTTCCCCCATAATCAGATCGATGACTACTTTAGTTATCAGTATAGAGTCTTCATCCAGTAGCTGATGGAAGCAGATGCAGAGATCCACAGCCAAGCACTGGGCCGAACTCCTAGAGTCCAGTTGTAGAGAGGGAGGAGCGATAATATGAACAAAGGGGTCAAAACCCCTTTGTTGGTCAAAACCACAGAAACAGCTGACCTGAGCAAGTGAGAGGTCACTGACTCCAGACTGACAGCTGGGGAGCCTACATAAGACCTACCTAGGCCTCCTGAACGTAGGTGACAGTTGTGGGGCTTGGGCAGACTATGGGTCCTTTGGCAGTGGAACCAGTATTTATCTGTAGTGCATGAACTGGCTTTTTGGAGCCCATTCCCTATGGAGGAATACCTTGCTCAGCCTAGATACAGGAGAGAAAGGCCTTGGTCCTGCCCCAAATAATATGATGGATTTTGATGATTCCCCATGGGAGGCCTCACCCTCTCTGAGGAGTAGATAGGGGTGGGGTGGAAAGATGGTGGGGGGAGTGGGCGGATGGGAGGTAGAGGGATCTGGGATGAGTATGTAAAATAAGATTGTTAAAAATACTAATAGTAAATGAGAAAAAGAATGGGATAGTGGCATGCCTAACACAGATCCCAATTTCCTTAAATAAAGACTGAGTTATAACTTCTCAAAAACAAACAAACAAAAAAGGAAGAAAGGGGAGGGGGGATGGAGAATGCTTGCTCTGCAAGAATTCTGAGCACCCTAAGTAGTTTATCTACAGGTCAAATCTCTACCCGAAGTCCAGTTGCAATCTAGCCCTCGGTCCTCTGCCACAGAGCTTAATTATCCAGGATCTGTACCCCTGGGCCTCTCTGTTCCAGAAAACTCTTTCCTGGAAAGATCAAAGCAAATTATTTTATTTTTTGTTCTCAGGAACTTTACAAATATATTTAAGCAAGCACCGTGTCCCTCATTTTAACAGATAGCATCTGATGTTGTCAGGTTTCCTGATGCTTTGAAACTACCTGAGCTTGAAACCAGTGTGACCCTATGGCTGCCTGTGTTTCTGAGATAGGGGCAGGGTAGTTGTTTATTGCCTGGTACCTGGAGCCCAGGTCTGCCTCATCAGGAGGCAGGGTACATTTGGGTATATTTTAAGGCTGAGAAGGTAGAGACGATCTCCAAACCAGAGCTAGGGAAACAAACTCAAATCTGGACTAAGTTGCCCTGGGCCACAGCATCCCGCAGCTGCCTGGGTCCCTGCAGACTGCAAACCTTCCCTCTTAGTCTTTCCCACATCCAGTGAGGCCATAAAACAAAAGAATCAACAAACACCGGATGTGATGACCAGCTTATAAGCCCCGCAGTTGGGATACCGAGGCAAGAGGATCACCAGTTCAAAGCCATCCCGTGCTGAATAGTGAGACACCATCTTAACAAATGGATTAGACTAAAATGAAGCATCTCTACAGGCCCTCTGGGGATTGATGGCATCATGTCCCGTATTAAACAGGTAATTCTGTCTGGAAGACAGAGGCCACACTGCTGTGGGGGAACCTGTGTCAGATGCCATAGAGATCATCCCTGTCACAGTGTGGCTCTGAGACCATTGCCAGGCAAAGCCAGTGAGTTTCAGTGGGGAGGGGATACCATCTCAGCAGTCAGGATAACATGGGCATGGGTGTTCTGGAGATGGAGAAGATAGATGAGGTTTCACACAGGCAGTTTGGCCCATGTGTATGCTGTAATGGACTCCATGAAAGCTGCAGCTTGGATTCTACCTGCCTTCATAACTAGAGCAGCGGTGACTCTGAGAGCAGGGCAGGGTGGGTCCCTGTGTGGTCTTTGGCTTGGGAGACGTCAGCCTTGGCACCGTGATTCAAAAGTGAATGTGGCCAGACAGGGGTGGGGGTCGTTCCATAGCATCCACTTACCCAGAAGAAGAAATTGAAGATGAAGAGCAGGTACTTTAGGTGGGCCAGCAGCCAGTCATCCTGCTCCGTCTTGCAGTATGCCATGGCGGCTGGGCCTGTGGAGGACACAAGCATGCTGGGTAGGGAACACCGGGGATCCTTGGTGTCGTTCCCACCCCAGCACCTGCAGTGGCTTCACCAGTCAGTGTTTTCCAAGGGGGTTTGAGGCTGAAGCACTGGGTGAACATGTGTGGCTTGGACCCCAGATGAAGACATACAGTCTATGGGAGGGGGATTTCTGGACTTCCGGATCTCAGTTTGGTTATTACGACACAAGGCGAACCCACAGGTGTCCGGAGTTCCCTTGTCTCCCCCATCTCACTACCATTGCGAGGCATGTTTTCTTGTCATACATATGCACACACGCTCACACTTGCTCATGCATACTCACACAGCTGACAGAGCTGCCGATCTGAGCAGGACCTCTGCGTGTGTGTCACTGTGCACAAGCATCTGTCTGGAAGGGACCTTAATGATTATCTAGGCCACTTCACCTGTCCCCAACTCCCCAGGTCCCAGAGGAGGAAGCAGGTCTAGTTGGCTAGAAGACGTATGCGAGTTCTCATAGGTCTTGATAATAAATGCCTGGAGTCAGATATAGGGGTAAAAGCTTAAAGATCAGAGAGATGAGGAAACAAGCCACAGCTACACCTTATCCGGCTGACAAGAGAGTGAGTTCCTTTTCCTCCTGCCTATATTCCTCTCTTTGCCCAGCCATCTCATGTCCGGTCTGTCTGTTAGCTAATAGCAAGCTCCACCCTCTGATCTTCAGACATGCTTTGTTTGTCTGAAGATCAGAGGATGGAGAAGAAGTTGGGAGGCTCTGTCTGCATACTGACGGCTGACTTCAATTCCTCTGTGTGTGCTTTGGGCAAGTCCATGCCCTCCTCCCAGGGCCTCACCTGTAAGCACAGACATGATGCTCTGCTGCAGGGCCCTCGGGAAGATCCGTGGGAGCCTCTCGGTCCAGGGTCTAACTAGGCTTTGACACATAGTGTGCACTCAGTAAACGAGAGCTCTGCTCTACTCCCCAGTTGCCCCATCTCTGACTCAACATCCCCTTGTCTTGTTCTGAGAACTGTGAAATCAGTGCAGCTCCAGAAGGCCTGCTGTGCATTGGCCCTCTTTGCTTCTCAGTAGGTACACACCTCAGCAGGTAGTCTCTGCTCCTGGGATGTGGCTGGCTACTTCACCTCTCTGTGCCCCATCACAACATAGGAGGCTTGGAAGCACTTCCTTGGCCGGAAGACAGCAGGGGAGGTGTACTCGTTCTGTTTTCTTGGAAGATAATTTTTCAATTTTAGCTGGGGACTTTGCCACCTGGAGTGTGTTGCTATATGCCAGCCTTTCCGTTTGGTATGGTCAGGGTTAGCTACCAGCAGGCAAAGGGCATGTGAGCAGAAGGAGCAGGTCGGTGTTTTGAAGGCATCAGTTTTTTTTTTGTCGAAAAGGGTTCCCTTTTACTTGGAAAGAATGTGGACGAATTTTTAGAGGTCAGTGAGGTCACCTTGTCCTGTTCTGTGCAGGCTTGTTTCATTGGTTATTGGAGGTTTTTGGCAGACTCCTGCATTGATGTGAGATTTGTCAAGACCTCCTCCAACTCCTAATTTTCAGGTCATATATTTCTCAGCAATGTTGTGGAGTACATACAGACTTGGAGCTGTGACATTATTCTGATAGATCAACCCCTCTGCCATTAATATGCACCATTCTTTTTATTTTTTTCCCGAGACAGGGTTTCTCTGTATTGTTTTGGAGCCTGTCCTGTAGACCAGGCTGGCTTCGAACTCACAGAAATCCACCTGCCTCTGCCTTCTGAGTGCTGGGATTAAAGGCGTGTGTCACCAACGCCCGGCCTTAATAAACACCATTCTTGACCTCTGACAAAGTCAGGCATCCTTACAGTGACAAAGGCTGTGTCTCTATTTACATTGTCCTGGTTGCTTGGCATGCTGATGCTATGGCTGGACTTCAAGCAGCCACTTTGTGCTCCAAAATGTAAGCCATGGGTTGACAGGGCAGAACAGCATGTTCAAAGGACTCAGGGCTCTGATAATTTTGGAGCTGCTACACTGTCCCTGGACTGGTCACCTCCAGCAAACTTGGAGTTTCTTTAAAGGAACTGACAGCTACTTCCCTGCTCTGGTAGGACAAACAGTGAGGGCCAAGGCATGTGCCAGCATGTGCCAGGTGTGCTGCGGCTGAGCTGTGGTCAGAGCATGGTGTTAGCTGTGGCCACTGAACATCTCATGCATGTATTTGCCTGTTTGTTTCAGTCACAGGCCTCATGCATATGGGTATTTGCTTATACATTTTATTGGTGTATCTCGTGTGTATGGATATTTGCTTTGCATTTCATTCATGCACTATTGTCAATCTGCATGGGAGATACTAAGCTCTGACTAATTTTGTCCCTGCTGAAGACCGTAATGATTAGGAGGAGGGGTTCTAGTGAGATCTCCCTATGCCCAGGGGACTATCGGTGTCTGTGCCGGTGTATGGGAAGGATACAGGTGCAAGGCTCAGGACTGAAGGTCCTTAGAGAGCAGTGGGCCCAGCGTGGTCGTTGCCTGTATGTTCAGGAGCTTGGGAGTGTGTCCAGTAGTGTTGGGTGGGTAGTCCTACGTTTCCTGGAGTTCTTTATTCTTTTAGTAAGGGTAGAAATAATGTATCTGGCACTGGAGTCCAATGTGGAGATGATGTCAGAATGGTGGACAGGAGACAAAGTACTACTGGGCACAGTGGATAGTTCCCTGTGTAGCACAGAGAAGGAAGGCATGGCCTGGGAAGGAGCAAGCAGAGGAATAGGAAACAAAGAGGGAGCTAGGAGGCAGAGGGGAGGGGAGAGCTGGAGGGGGAGGACATAGGGCCGGGTTCTCAGTGAGGGCTGACCTCAGCTGTGCTAAACCAGGGTGCATATGGGAAGGGACAAGAGAGAAGGTTCTCAAATAGGCAGAGGAAGGGCTGGAGAGTGGAACAGAGGGTACCTGTGCTGTAAGGGAGAGTTGCTTGGCTCCCTAGAAGGTTTCTGGCTCATGCACTGGCTCTGCAGCCCCCACACCATGCAGAATGGATGGGGCTAGTCCCATTGACAACTAATGTCCCACCATCCTGTCCTGGTGCATTTACCTCTGTGTGTCTTTGTTTTCCCTAACCAGGTAGTGGGGGCAGAGTAGGGAGATGGGAGAGCGGTTGTGATATCACAGAGTCTCAGCTCCCAGTAAGGCTTTGGACAGTCCCTGCCAACCTCTGGCATCCTAGCATCCTACTGTCACTCAGCTTCGAGTTCCCAGGAGACAGGCTGAGTGCCCATGCACAATTCACCCTGAACCACTGGGAGAATCTATCACCAGGGGGTGGGATCAGACTGTGGGGGGATATGGGACTCCTGGGGATGAAGGGATCACCTTTTTTGAAACAGGGTGTCTTAGTTTCATTTCCACTCCTGTGGTAAATACCCTAACAAAAAGCAATTTCGGGGAGATGGGTTTATTGCCACCTTGCAGTTTCAGGTTAGAGTCCATCGTTGTGGGGAAGGTGGGGAAGTGAAGGCAGGAGCTTCAAACAGCTAGTCACATGGCATCCATGGTCAAGAGCAGAAAGAAATGAATTTGTACATGTTCACTTGCTGGCTTCCTTGTGCTCAGCTCGATTTCTCCACTCTTCCATAGCTCAGGACTCATTGACTAGGGAATGGTGCTGCCCACAGTTGGCTGCTTCTTTCCACATCAAACTAATTCCCAATAGGTCAATCAATCCAGACAATCCCTTCTCAGGTGACTCCAGGTTGTGTCAGGTTGGCAAGAAATGACAACCATCGAATGGGGTCTTGTTAGATCCTAGTCTGACCTGAAACTCACAATCTTCCTCTCTCTGCCTCCGGATGCCTGCCTCAGAGATGTGTCTCACCATTTCCCCATCAACCTCTGATGCTGACTCACAAGCAAGCGTCTGAGTATGAAAGAGGTGAGTGTTCCCCAGACCCTTAGAGGAAGACAATCCAAAACAACCGGATTTCCTGCCCACCTAGAGGCACCAGGGCTCAGAGAGCTCCCATCCCTAGAGGGGCTATCCTAAACTTCCATGACCTGCAAGCTAGCATTGCTATTGCAGAGGGCTTTGAAGACGATGCCATAGCAGAGGTCAGGGCCACAGGAAGGGACAGGGCCTTCTCAGAGCCTTAGCTATTGGTGGATGCACCCAGGGTGACTATGGACTGCCCTAGGTGGGGACTCTGCCAAGAGCTCATGGGCTGAGGTAGCCTGGTAGAGCCAGAGCCCTTCCCACTGTGTGCAGTCCTCACTGCCTGTTGGGTGGGGAATCTTAGTAGTAGTTCTTTTTCACTAGGCTTCTTGGAGATCACATGGGCACTTGGGGGCTTGTTGGTACAGAGATGGCTAATGTATCCCAGGGTCCCAGCTCTTTAGGGTTGGGAAAACAATTCAGGCAGATGGTTACCAATGACCCCGATTTACAAGGACAACGATGTTTCTTGTAAGACAGGCTTTTGAGGCCTGGACCAGGAAGGACTTATATCATCCTGCTTCAAGACACTGCTGATCTCAGGGTTTCACCTTGACTCAGAGTCCTGGGAGCCATGTCTAGGGACAGTCGGGCATCACCCAGGGGTGGTGGGAATCATGTAGTATGGGCATGTCCTCTCACGGAACTCACATTTCCGACAGTTTCTACTGAAATGCTAAAGCTTTTTCACTGATCCCTGGGAGCCGTGGCTTCAGGCACTTTCCTGGGTCATAGTGTTGATGGAGGAACAAAGCTGGATTCAGGGTCTGAGGAGGTCACAGGCCATCTCAGAAAAGCGAGAGCAGATGCCTGGGTGGTGATGTCATGTTCTAGGTCATTCCTGAGGACTGAATGTACAATGTCACCAGCTGTGAGGCTTGGGGACTACTGTCTTTCTGCTGTCTTTCTACTGTCTTTCCCTATCCCCAGAAAATGGGCCTCAAAGAGCTCAGAAGAGATAGGCCAAAGGAGGAGCCCAGATAGGGCCGCTGTCCTGGAGAGCCAGGTATGGTTCTGACAAA